TTTTAAAATTTTTTGGTAGGGCCTTTGGTTTAAATTTTTTGCTTTCCCTCGGGAAAGGGCCCTTTTAGGATGGTGTTTTTTTAATGTTTGTTGACAAATTTTTTTTCGTAGATTAAACTTATTTTTTTTTTTGGGAAAGTTTTAAGAACCTTTTGCTTTTTAATGCAAAACTGAAAGGGTTATCTGTAATACAGTCCTAAAAGAAAATATTGGGGCTGGCCACGTTAAACAAAAAAAAATTTTGGGGGAAACTGGAGAAATTTCCCGAGAAAGGGCAACCAAATGATACGAGGCATGGAGGAGATCAGCTATGTGGAATGATTTGAGGAACTGAATTTATTCTCTCTTGAGATGAGGAGATTAAGGGGGCTATGATCTCATGTATAATAATAAGGGGGATATGATCATTTTATTGGGTTTTTTTAAATTTATAGGGGGGGATTATGTTATCCATGTATGGTTTTTAAGGGGGGAACTTGATCTCCAGTAAAATACATAAGGGGGATATGATTCCCCTTTCCCCCCAATTGTTATAAATACATAAGGGGGGATATGATCTCCATGTTATAATACATAAGGGGGGATATGATCTCCATGTATGAAATACATAAAGGGGGATATGATCTCCATGTATAAATCTTTAAGGGGGGATATGATCCCCTTTGTATAAACATAAGGGGGATATGATTTTCCATGTATAATACATAAGGGGGGTTATGATCTCCATGTTTAAATACAAAAGGGGGGATATGATCCCCAAATGTTAAATACAAAAAGGGGGTATGTCCCCCTTGTATAATACAAAAAAGGGGGATATGATCCCCTTGTTAATACAAAAAGGGGGGATTTTTGGATTCCATGTTTTTAATTTACTAAGGGGGGGATATGATCACCATGTAAAATTACATAAGGGGGGATATAAATTCCCCATGTATAATAAAAAGGGGGGGGATAGGATCCCCTGTAAAATTACAAAAAGGGGGGGGTTTTGGGTTCCCCATGTAAAATTTTTTAACTTTAAGGGGGGGATATGATTTTCCATGTAAAATACAAAAAGGGGGAATTGATCTCCATGTTTTAATACATAAGGGGGTTTATGTTTCCCATGTATAATACAAAAGGGGGTTTGATCCCCATGTATAATACAATAAGGGTGGGATATGATCTCTTGTTATAATACATAAGGGTGGGATATGATCTTCCATGTATAAATACATTAAGGGGGGGATTTAAATCTCCATGATCATAATACATAAGGGGTTATGAGGGGGGGATATGATCTCCATGTATAAACTTAAGGGGGGAAATGATCTCAAGTATAATACATAAGTGGGGATATGATCTCCATGGATAATACATAGGGGGGTATGATCTCCATGTATAATACAAAGGGGGGGAGTTGATCAACCGTGTATAATCAATTAAGGGGGATATGATCTCCATGTATAAATACAGTATGGGTGGGGATATGATCTCCATGTAAAATACATAAAGGGGGGATATGAATTCTCCATGGTATAAATACAATAAGAGGGGGATATTAACTACCATGATATAATACATAAAGGGGGGGGATATGTGATCAACCATGTATAACTACAAAAGGCGGGGATATGATCTCCTTGTATAATACTTAAGGCTGGGGATATGATTCACCTGTTATAATCCATAAGGGGGGGATATGATCTCCATGTATAATACATCAATGGGGGATATGTTCACATGTATAGAAATACATAAGGGGGGGATATGATCTCCATGTCTTACTACATAAGGGGGGATTATGTATATTCCATGTATAATACATAAGGGTGTGGATATGCGATCTCCATGTTTCATTACATAGAGGGCGGGATATGATCACCATGTATAATACAATAAGGGGTGGGATATGATTTAACTCATGTATAATAATACATAAGGGGGGGGATATGGGGACTCACCATGTATAATAACTTATAGGGGGGGGGGATTTTGATCTCCCTATGTATTATAATACATAAGGGGGATATGATCTCCATGTATAATACATAAGGGGGTTATTTCTCCATTGAATAATACCTAAGGGGGGGATTTATGATCACCATTTTGATTAATACATAAGGGGGGGATTATGATCTCCATGTATAATACATAAGGGGGGATATGATCTCCATGGGGGGATATATTAAATACATTAGGGGGGGATATGATCACCATGTATGAGTTATTCACCTTGAGGTCATCCACAGAGGAACAAGGGGGAGGTTATGTACACTATACATCTGGATCATGAAAAGAAATGTAATCTCCTAAAACACAGTATAAAAGCTTGTGAGAATGTGGAAAAGACTCCTCAAAGAGTTGGTTCTGCCAGCTCAGTGGTTTGCTTTAAAAAAAGTCCTGGACTCTTTCTTGGATACACAGAATATAACTGGATATTAACAAATATAGTAAAGTTGATCCAGGGAATATCCGATGCCATCTCGGGGGGATCAGGAAGACTATCACAGTGATTTGCACAGGAATGTGTGCGGTTTCCTGTTGCAAATCACATGCGATGTGCTGCACCACATTAAGTGTGAACCAGGGGCTAAGATGAAAAAGGTCCTAGATGAGCTCCTGCAGCAATCAGACAGCGGTAGCTCTATGATACACAGGGGTGGACTGACCATTTAGAAACTCGGGCACTGCCCGAGGGCCTGGGGTCAGTTAGGGGCCCCATGAGATGCCCCTGGTACCTTTTTCATAGGCTTTTTTGAGTTTGGGCAAGGACACAGGGGCCCCATGATCCCCTATTGCCCGGGGGCCCCATGAGTGTCAGTCCGCCCTGATGATACAACTTGCACCCTTAGCTAGGCTTGTCGGCGTCATGGTAGGAATCAGCATGTCTGTTTCTCGGGCAGCTCTAGGCCTCAGGATGATCCCCTGCTCCTGCGGACAGCAGCACAGGCACAGACTGGACTTAGTAAGTTGCAGCAGCTTCCTCAGTTTCTCCGGAACTGACAGACATGTCATGTATCTTCCTCCCTGTCTCTCTCTCTGACAGAACCTTCTCTTCTCCATGTGCCAGTGTCTCTCCCCCAGACTGCCTTGTGGTTTCCTAGGATTTCTAATTTATTTGACCCTACCGACTTAAGGCTTGCTGGTTTTTGTAGTTTAACCCCTTGCCTACCGGGCACTTTCACCCCCTTCCTGCCCAGGCCAATTTTCAGCTTTCAGTGCTGTCGCACTTTGAATGACAATTGCGCGGTCATGCAACACTGTACCCAAACCAAAATGTTATCATTTCTTTGAGACAAATACAGCTTTTTTTGGTGGTATTTAATCACCACTGGGGTTTTTATTTTTTGCTAAATAAACGGAAAAAAAAAGAACAAAAATTTTGGAAAAAAAGTTTTTTTTTTAGTTTCTGTTATAAAGTTTTGTAAATAAGTGATTTTTCTCCTTCACTGATGTGCGCTGATAGGCTGTACTGATGGGCACTGATGATGCTGCACTGATATGCGGCACTGATGGGGACTGATAGGCAAAACTGATGGGCACTGATCAGCAGCACTGATGGGCTTTGTTAGGTGGCACTGATGGGCACCGATAGGTGGCACTGATGGGCTTTGATAGGTGGCATTGATGGGCACTGATAGGTAGCACTGACAGGAATCACTGACGAGCATTGACAGGCATTACTGAGGAGGTATTGAAAGCCAGTACAGGTGGGCACTGAAAGCCAGCACTGATGAGCACTGATAGGTAGCACTGACAGGCATCACTGATGAGCACTGACAGGCATTACTGAGGAGGTACTGAAAGTCAGCACTGATGAGCACTGATAGGTACTAAAATCCAGCACAGATGGGCACTACTGGCCTCACTGATGGGGCTACACTAATCATCAGGGCACGGATGATCAGTGTAGATGTCCCCCTGAGAAATGTCGCTTACAGGCTCTCCTCTCCTCACGCGCTGTCAACGCGAGGAGAGGATTGTCGATAACTGGCTTTTCCTATTTACATTGTGATCAGCTGTGATTGGACACAGCTGGTCACATGTAAAAGGCGGCTCTGATTGGCCCTTTACTTGGACACGTGATCAGCTGTGTCTGAAAGACACAGTGCTCACAGATTGCGCATGGTGGGAGGGTGTGGTTCTGTGAGGATGTTTATGGATGCCCTCCCAGAACTAGCCAACCGCACTGTAGCCATCTTTTGGCAATAGCGTAGTCATGAAGTGGTTAATGGGTCTGGTTAGTAATGGAGTTCCTTTTGGCTGGGACCACAACTCCCAGAGTGCAATGCTCTTGACTAAAGATGAATCAGAGTCCACAAAGCTTCATCTTGTGGCAGAAAAAGGGAACTTCTTGCAGGAAACATGAATTATACAAAGCATCAATAAACTTGCACATTTAGTTACAATGGATCGTGTTACATATATTGAGGGCTTTTCTCAGGAAATAGGTGCAGGAACTCCCTCCTCCCTTCCTTCAAGTCACCCCTTGTCTCCACCTCTTACCGACCTCTGAGTACTGTCCCTTGGTTCCACCACTTACTCACCTCCCAGTACTGTCCCTTTTAGAGAAAACAATTATTCATTTTGGGGTGCTAAGTAATTGTATTAATTGTAATTTGTATCCCCTCAATAATAGACCCCCCTGCAACAATAGATCCCCCAGCAGCAAAAGACCTTTGGAAGCAACAAAAGATCTCCCAGCAGCTAGCATCAGTGGATCTTCCAGTATCCAGCAACAATAGACCTGTCCCTCAACAGTAGATCCCTCCTAGCAACATAAGACCCCACCAGCAGCAATACATCTCAATGGACCCTGCTGCAACAATAGGTCCCTCTAGCAGACAGCAACAAAAGAGCATACCCCAGCCCCCCTTGCCATTACATACATTCAATGCTGAAGGTGCCAGAACTGCATTCCCCCCCTCATGGGGCCCCCGGGCAATAGGGGATTTTGGGGCCCCTGTGCCCTTGCCCAAACTCAAAAAAGCCTATGAAAAAGGTACCAGGGGCATCTCATGGGGCCCCCTACTGACCCCGGGCCCTCGGCAGTGCCCGAGTTTCCAAATGGTCAGTCCGCCCCTGGTTCCCCCATGTTTCCGCTGAAAAAAAGCCCTGCATATGTTATATGAAAACATCCTTGAAATAGTGGTCATATTTTCTAAAATGCCTGACATGAATAAAAAATGGAGGGTGACCAGCAAGGATCATCCTAAATTTCCTAATCACCAAGGATTAGAGTTCTCTGTACAGCACCACAGAATGTGTGAGCAATAAAACATATTTAGGTTAGATGAGTGCCGTTACTACCAACTAAGACATTTTGTAACAGTGCTACCGTGGCCACTAAGGATGGGGAAGGACTTGCATCCGTTTGAAAAACTTTTCAGTAAGGACACAATATGAAAACATGTTACTTCCCAGATATATAAGATTCTTACTGATTTACCCTGGATCAGCCCCCCCACCGATCATGGAAAAGGGGGAAAAGGAGCTTGGAACAAAATTAAATGAACAAGAAAAAAAGAAAATACTTAAATTAGCACATGGTTTGGTGGATATGAATATAGTAGAAATGAATTCTAAATGTTTAGTAAGGTGGTACATGACACCTAACATGGCACATAATTTACCAGCAGAGAGTTCACTTTCATGTTGGAGACGATGTGGGATGAAGGGGACAATGGCACATATTTGGTGGGAATGTCCTAACATACAGGAATCCTGTCAAGGAGTAATACAACAAATACAGGAGACAAGAAGTATTAGTGTATTGAAGGACCCTTGGGTTTGTTTATTTCACAATTCAGAGAATACAGTGAAACAATATAAGAGCATGTTGACATTTAATTTATTAACCTCCTTAGCGGTATTCCCGAGTGTAGCTCGGGGTAAAATTTCAGTACCAAGAGCGGTAACCCCGAGCTACACTCGGGCTTACCATGCAGCGTTGCTCAGGGGGTCCCTGCAGCACTTACCTTGTCCTTCGTTCCCCCGATGTGTTCCCTGCAGCATCCCCGGCCATCTCCTCCGGCCGATGTCGGCATCCGGCTTCCGTGTGTTCCGGTCCCTGTGACGTCGGGACATACGGGCGCCGGAACCAGCGGCAAATTTGAAATTTTTAAAAAATGTCATTTTTTAAAAAATGATTATTGCATAGGAAAACATTGCTGTTTCAATGCATTTCACATACATTTTGTCCCGAGTGCTTTGTCCGGCGCCCTGCCTGCATTTTGACTGTTCTTTCTGCCTGGAAACTTAGAAAAGTCCATGGCGTCCAAAAAGCATCCCTTTAGGTCAAAAGCGGTTTTAGACCGGCTAGAGAACAGCGATAGTAAATCAGAACCACTTGCAGAATTGAGTGATAATGATTCGTGGGGGAAATTCGTCATTAGACACTGAAAACGATTTTGCGACTTTGCTCAGCGATGTGCGAATTTGCCTCTGTATTTCAAATTTCAGTGTTTTTGGTTTGATTATATTATTGAATTAAATTTATTATTATTATATTTTTTATGATTATTTATTAAATTATAATTTATGATTTCGTGTTTCAAATTTTATCATACCCGGGATGTTTACTAGACTCTTGTTCGGACAGATTTCAATGAGTTATTCCTAAAAATTACAGCCTACGATAAAAAACTACATATTTCCATGCAAAATAATGGTACCGCTTTCAGCACAAAAAATCGGAAAGAATCAGACCCGCCGAGGAGGTTTAAATGCGGCTAAAGGACTGATCCCCAGATTCTAGCAGACACAGGAAACCCCGAAAATAAAAGATTGGATAAATAGAGTGGAGTATGTACATAGGATGGAGGAACTATATCACACTGGAGAGGATACAAATTTAAAAATTTAAGAAAATCTGGGACAGATGGGAGGACTTTAAAACATCTAGGAGAGGGGTCCTCCAACTTTTTAAACAGGGGGCCAGTTCACTGTCCCTCAGACTGTTGGAGGGCCGGACTATAGTTTCTAAAAAAAAAAATTTTTAAACAAATGCGGACACAGTACAGGAGATGACCAGAGACTGCGGACATACAATGGCGGCGGGAATACTGGGCCGGCCGCTCTATAAGACGCACAGACATTTCCCCCCAAGTGTGTCTCTTATGGAGCGAAATAGTGCCCCATCATTGGTGTCAGTGGGAGGAATAGTACCCCATCATTGGTGTCAGTGGGAGGAAATAGTGCCCCATCATTGTTGTCAGTGGGAGGAATAGTGCCCCATCATTGGTATCAGTGGGAGGAATAGTGCCCCATCATTGGTGTCAGTGGGAGGAATAGTGCCCCATCATTGGTGTCAGTGGGAGGAATAGTGCCCCGTCATTGGTATCAGTGGGAAGAATAGTGCCCCATCATTAGTGTCAGTGGGAGGAATAGTGCCCCATCATTGGTATCAGTGGGAGGAATAGTGCCCTGTCATTGGTGTCAGTGGGAGGAATAGTGCCCCATCATTGGTATCAGTGGGAAGAATCGTGCCCCATCATTGGTATCAGTGGGAAGAAGAATAGTGCCCCATCATTGGTATCAGTGGAGAGGAATAGTGCCCCATCATTGGTGTCAGTAGGAGGAATAGTGCCCCATCATTGGTGTGAGTGGGAAGAATCGTGCCCCATCATTGGTGTCAGTGGGAGGAATAGTGCCCCATCATTGGTGTCAGTGGGAGGAGCAGTGCCCCATCATTAGTGTCAGTGGGAAGAAATGTGCCCCATCATTGGTGTCAGTGGGAGGAATAGTGCCCCATCATCATTGGTGTCAGTGGGAAGAAACGTGCCCCATCATTGGTATCAGTGGGAGGAATAGTGCCCCATCATTGGTGTCAGTGGGAAGAAACGTGCCCCATCATTGGTGTCAGTGGGAGGAAAAGTGCGCCATCATTGGTGTCAGTGGGAAGAATCGTGCCCCATCATTGGTGTCAGTGGGAGGAATAGTGTCCCATTATTGGTGTCAGTGGGAAGAAACATGCCCCCATCATTAGTGTCAGTGGGAGGAATAGTGCCCCATCATTGGTGTCAGTGGGAAGAATCGTGCCCCATCACTGGTGTCAGTGGGAGGAATAGTGCCCCATCATTGGTGTCAGTGGGAGAAATAGTGCCCCATCATTAGTGTCAGTGGGGGGAGGAATAGTGCCCCATTGTTGTTGTCAGTGGGGGGGGAATAGTGCCCCGTCATTGGTGTCAGTGGGGGAGGGGATAGTGTCCCAACATTGGTGTCAGTGGGAGGAATAGTGTCCCATCATTGGTGTCAGTGGGAGGAATAGTGTCTCATCATTGGTGTCAGTGGGAGGAATAGTGCCCCATCATTGGTATTAGTGGGAGGAATAGTGCCCCATCATTGGTGTCAGTGGGGGAAGGGGATAGTGTCCCAACATTGGTGTCAGTGGGAGGAATAGTGTCCCATCATTGGTGTCAGTGGGAGGAATAGTGTCCCATCATTGGTGTCAGTGGGAAGAATAGTGCCCCATCTTTGGTGTCAGTGGGAGGAATAGTACGTCATTGGTGTCATTGGGAAGAATAGTGCCCCATCTTTGGTGTCAGTGGGAAGAATAGTACGTCATTGGTGTCAGTGGGGAAGGAATAGTGTTCCATCGTTGGTGTCAGTGGGGGGGAGGAATAGTGCCCCATCGTTGGTGTCAGTGGGGGGGGGAATAGTGCCCCATTGTTGGTGTCAGTGGGGGGGGAATAGTGCCCCATCGTTGGTGTCAGTGGGGGGAGGAATAGTGCCCCATCATTGGTGTCAGTGGGAGGAATAATGCCCCATCATTAGTATTAGTGACACCAATGATGGGGCACTATTTCCCCCAAACTGACACCAATGACACTTAACTTGCGGACCCCTGCTCCAGCATGGTGCTGCTGCAGCCAGCATACCTGGTTGCAGCAGCACCATCAGCACGGCACACTTACTTGTCAGCTGTCCTTCTTCACTCCGGCCTCTCCCTCACTCGATGTTCGTGGGGCCGCTCGGCTCCGCCTCCTCGCAAGTGATTGGCCGCCTGTGTGCCTTTCCTGAGCTACAGTTCTGGCGCCCAATCACCGGTGAGAGGAGGCGGAGCCGAGCTGCAGGAGTGAGGGAGTGGCCGGAGTGAATGAAGGAGCAGCGCGCTTCCTGGACTGGATCGTCGTGGGACTGGGACACGGAGCCAGGTAAGGTACAGCAGCCCCCCTGTACTTAGTGTCCCTTCCTCACGGAAAATACACCCCTGCTGGCGGGCCGGATAAATGGCGTCGGTGGGCCGCATGTGGCCCGTGGGCCGTAGTTTGAGGGCCCCTGATCTAGGAGATATTTGGAACTGACCAGAGCGTACAGAGAGGGAGTGATAAGGATAGAAGGAAAGGCCCTATTAGTGGTTGTTAGGCAGAGAAGCAGAAGGGAGTGAAGAAGAAAAATAGTAGGATTAAATAGTCGAACGATAAAGAAAAAGGAAATAGGAAGAGGTGAAGGGAGGGGAGAGGGGAATTTATTATGTAAAATTTGTGGAAACTGAGTATAACATTTTGATAAATTTGTTTGCATTTATGATGAAAAATTAACTAACCTCCCTAGCGGTCTGATTATGTCCATATTTCTGTGCTCAAAGCGGTACATTTTTTTGCATGGAAATATGTATTTTTTTTATTGTAGGCTGTAATTTTTAGGAATAACTCACTGAAATCTGTCCGAACAAGAGTCTAGTAAACATTCCCAATATGTTACAATTTGAAACACGAAATCATAAATTATAATTTAATAAATAATCATAAAAAATAATAATATAATAGTATTAAATTTAATTCAATAATATAATCAAACCAAAAACACTGAAATTTGAAATATAACGCCAAGTTCGCACATCGCTGAGCAAAGTCGCAGAATCGTTTTCAGTGTCTGATGATGAATTTCCCCCACCAATCATTATCACTCAATTCTGCAAGTGGTTCTGATTTACTATCGCTGTTCTCTAGCCGGTCTAAAACCGCTTTTGACCTAAAGGGACGCTTTTTGGACGCCATGGACGTTTCTCAGTTTCCAGGCAGAAAGAACAGTAAAAATGCAGGCAGGGCGCCGGACAAAGCACTCGGGACAAAATGTATGTGAAATGGTTTGATACAGGAATGTTATACTATGTGATTTTAGTGGATTTAGTGAATGTCACTTTTTGTCATTTTCAAATTTCCCGCCAGTTCCATCCCCCGTACGTCCCGACGCTCGCAGGGAACGGAACCCAGAAGACAGATGCCGGTATCCGCCGGAGGA